TTTTTTTTTTTGGGGGGGGGGTTGGCATTTGTTTGGGCCCACCCACCCATTCCAGCCAACTGGGTGTTCAAGATTACTCCGAGTGTGGTCACATTTTGAAGCCGGCTTGGTTAGCTACGCTTTGTGTTCGTTTCGTGCGCATAATCCGAGACTTGTGCCACCCAGGATGTATCGCTACTTCAGGCCAAAGGCCAGTGGGAAAATCACCGCTTCCCCGGATGCGCTGTCCATGTGGAAGACCGATGATGGCAGTGCCTCGTTTACCAGCTAGCCACCTTCATTGTCAGGTCGGTTTTCGCCTTTCGATGACTTAGGAAAGAAGCTGAGAGAGCTTCTATCGAAGCACGGCCAGTTCGAAACGGTCGAGATGAAGATCAAACAATGGAGGACAAAGATGCGCAGATTGCAGAAGGAGGGCGGCTGGTACACAAAACACTACCTCCTAACGGAGGGCAAGTGGACGAAGTGGGAGCCTCAAAAATTCAACCCAATCATCCGGTCCTGTCCATGCAGCCACCCCTTCTTATATGCCCTTCCCAGCCTCTGCCTCGCCCAAATGTTGATCTCCGCATCGTGGCCTCATGTGTCATTGCGCTTAATGTGCAAGGATCGGGGTCTGATGGGGCTAGTAGTAGGACCTTAGGGTGCCTGTGCACGAACTATATAGGAAGATGGTGGACAATGCCTGGAAATGGGCAGATGAGCAGCCTGGCCGCAAAAGAGTAAATCCTATCCACAAGGAGGAGGAGATCAAGTTGGTTTTGAAAGACACCTTCGTTTGGATGGAAGAGGAAGGTGACACGACTCAGCTCCAGGGGTCCTTCGACATGGAGGACTTTTGCCTCTTGGTTGATACATACCAGTGCATGCGCACACAAAAACACACACATATGATTGTGCATATTCGTTCGCCCGTGACATGATGGGCAAGATATGAGACCATTATGTAGGACCCGAATGGGACGCTCTTCGAGGATGGGGGCATCCCTGAGCTCGGGACCTCGTCCCAAGCTGCTTTGGTGGACTCCTTGGCAAAGGAGTCGGGTCCTTCGCCTCAGGCCGAAGTGTGTGGAGCAGGATCCTTCAAGTCCCTGATCTGCAACCCATGGCGCCTAATCTGAATTTGCAATCTAACTGGTTCATGATCCTGGTGCTCTACTTGATTGCTTGAGGATTTCTTATCCGACGATTCAGCAGAACAGCTCCTCCTTTGCCCTTTTACCAGTGTTCATCGAGATTTGCGGCCGCAAGATTGATGCTACGGAAACTGAACTGGCCTGGACCTCTGCTCATCCATATCAAAATGAGCTGGTTCATCCGTGTGCTATATAAGGACAAGTTGTCTTCCCACGCGAACCCGAGAGCTGCAAAGAACCGTGGCAAAAATATCGAAATCCGATGAAACCGCTGTCTATCAGCTGACCTGAAACGCCCAGGCTAGCTGAGGATCTCACCACACAGTTGGACAAGGTGAGGAAGCATTACGAGCATTTGCAGAAATTGCAAGAGGAGGTTGCAACGTCAACCGCGACGAGGTGTCTTTGTAGAATTTCACATAATGCAATAAGATCGAAGCCCTCAAATCAGTTTGTTTCTCTTGCAAAGACATTAACGATTTGCTCGTGTATGCTCCTTATCGGAGGCCGGAGATGCCAAAGATCCTATTGACTGCATTTGCAGAATGCACACGTCTGGATGTCGGACTGAACAACTTGGCAGTGCGAGCCAGGCCGCAGTCTTGAGATATGATTACATGTCGTATATGACTCATGCTGGGTGGCCCTGCCTTCTCCAGGTCAATCAAAGCCGTGCCTTCCGCAGCTGGGAGTGCTGTGGGAGCCAAGCCGAAGACAATCCCGAAGAGCAAAGCCAAGTCGGGGAAGAAGAAAGCACCCAAGAGCCCTAAGAGTAAGGCTAAAGCAAAAGCCTGAAGTGGTAGATCTTGGTTTTGAGTTTTGGGGCTCGGTTCTTTGCAGCATGACCTGCGAAGATGCTTCATGGTGAGAGCCTCGGCACACTGTCTAACAGTGTCCGCAAATCTTGTTGTGCATTTTGGGCCGAATATCGGGAAGCTCGATCTGATGGCTGGCAAGACACGCAGAAAAGACGAGCTTGCGCAAGTGACTGCCTGTTGTTTATTGTCACGAGCACTTGTCAGATAGAGAAATACCTATGCACAACGACCTGTCCTATGTCTGCAGAAACTCAGCCTGAAGGTGGGGACAGCGATTGTGATCCAGATAATCCTGCTGCAGGACACCCACTAATCCAACACGCCCCTGAAACATATTCTCCACCAGTAGTAATGCGCCTGGCCTCCGCAAGGACCTCAGAATGATGAGGAAGGTGAGAACCTTGCAGATGAGCTGTTGATCGGTTTCGAGGATGGGGCTGCTTGGTTTTATGCTCTAAGGTTTGATAGCTTAAGTTATTGCCACGGGGTTCTTGTCGGATTATCTTTTGTTCTTGGGAATAGGAAGGTAGGTTTGGGACTTGTCACCGTCAAAAAGCGGCGGGCCTTCCCTACACCTAGGCTGGGTTAGGGCCGTCTTGCTTTGTGTTTGGGTTATTTAGTTAGGCTTTGGGGTGTCTATATTTTTTAAATAGATTGTGCTAAGAGGTCTAACGGGTTAGTGTCTAATGTTACATAGGATTGCTGCCTCCCGTCTTTGCGGGTTTGGGTTTATTGATCCGTTTCAGGTCGGGTTCGGAAACTTTGTGATCGCGGCTGAATCTTAGATCGAGGTCAGATTTGGTGCCAAGTGTGTGTGTTCAGCCTTTAAGCAATTCCACTTCATGTCAGCCTAGGCCGACTCAGCAGCCCGTGTTGTCAGATTAGCAAAAGTGGCAAATGCCAAGTTGAAGGCGAACGGTCTCTCGGTGTATGGAAAGCTATGACAAAGGTTTATTTCTTTACAGGTTTCGTGAAATCGAAAATATCTTGTAGGGTTGGCCCTCGCTACCCTGAAGCCAAAGCCGTATATGTATGTGCCTATTCATTAATAACCAACTCCTACAATCTTCGAATCCCAGACCTATAGGCTTTAAAGAATTCATTGGCCAACGAGGAATTGTGGATCCTATGTTGCAAAGGATGGCGGCATGTGGCAGCTCCCGAACAGACTCTCACATCTGTCAAAGACTTCACAAGCTTATCGAATCGTCCACGAGGTCCCTGCCCATTCCGATATCAACAACAGATGTACGGATCAAAACGTCACGCAGAGGGCGATCTTTGAGGACCAGGCTGGTGAAGTATCCGATGCTGATGCCTTCGGATTGGGCTACAAGCATCTTCAGGATGGGAGGTCATTTCTTACTTGGTGAGCTATCGTTGAATGATGTGAACTCCTTCGGAGACACCCTGGAACTTTTCTGGCATCGGTACCAGGTTTTAGAGCCGGACTTTGAAATTCCCGGGAACCCTCGGTACACCATACCTTACGCCCTTCACGGAGACGAGGGGCGTGGCAAAGGCAAAAAGCCTATCATGATACTTGGAATGCAGCCGCTAATTACGAGCCATGATATGTCAACATCAAATCTCGGAGGGATTCTAGTCTGCAAGAATTCCAACTAATTTTCGTTTTGCCAAACTTAGCCTGAGACCTTTTTATCTACACCTATCCTAGGCATACACTGTGCACCCGGCTCCTCCTGGCTGTGATTCCGTCTGTCTTCTATGTCAAAGAGGAGACACTGGATGCTGTGTTGCAGGCCATAGTCAATGATTTGTTGCTCTTGCAGCAAGAGGGAATAAGCGCCGCTCTGATGAATCAAATCATATAACCCCAGGCTTAAACCCAACCTTAGAGGAAAAACCATAGTCTAGATATACGCTTATTGTGCTTTCATTCTGCATACTGCAACACAGGTGAACTTCAAGGGCCAGAACCACCACTTTCATCTCGCTTATACGGGAACCAAAGGAGACTGGCCGTTTCTGCGAGCAGGCTTTAAATTGAACTGCGGATACAATTGTCTCCGCAAATGCCACTTGTGCGATATCTCAGAGCCTCGGAACCTTGTAGACTGGGGCGGACTGGAGACTTTTTCTGAAGCACAGAAGCTCTTAGATTTAAGGCAATCACCCCGGCCCTAGCCAGATTCATGCAGGAATGGTGGGATGTCAAAGGTGAGATCAAGCGCTTACCAGCAGATTATGTTCCGGAGAATGTTTTCAAAGTTGGGTTGGCGCCCTCCCCACTACGATCCCTTTCAGACGACCCGAAAAAAATTCGTGTCGATGCCGCCCACACGTGGGCGATCAACGGAATTGGGAAGGACCTATACTCAAGCTCACTGGTTTTGGGGGCAAGAATGGGCTTCTTCGGGGCTGGATCCATGGATGCACGGCTGAAAGTCGCTTATTCTCGGTTCGACAAATTCTGCAAAGAAAAGAAGAAGTATACCAGCATCGATGCCTTCAACTTCATGACATTGAAGACTTCAAAGTCGCACCTAGCTCTAACAAGTGCTATGTTTATAATGCCGAACCCGAAGTTAAGTATTCCTAACTTTACCATCGACTGTCCCATTTCCCGCCCCTCCGTAGGTACACAACCTTTCCAGCTGGGTTGGGCAAAGGGCACGATTGTGCCATCGTTGGTGCCTGGCTGGAATCCGAGCTGTGGAAGGTGGACGCAGCCTCGATCGAGACTTGCCATGGGTTGAAAGATGAAGGGCACGGGTTGCAGGTTCAGGTCACACTTTGGTTGAGGTCACAGTTGGAAGCCATATCATGAGGCACAGCCTTGGCCTTCAGGCGCGCCATGTGTGAAATCGGGTTCTGGGCCCCTAGGTAAGTCCTTAGAAAGCTGAGTTGGGACTACTTTTGATCCCCATGACCCCCGGGTAGTTTGAGATGTGAGGAGTATACCCGTGCCCGTGATTGAGCTTACGAAATCTTTGCTCGTAATAAACGGGGCTGGTTCTATAGCTTCGTTGGCAATCCCAGAAATTAAGCACCCCATCCGCAAAGTCAAGACCGAACCTCACTCAGAAATCCCAAACTCGAAAGCTTATCCGCTCTCAGACCCAAGCACATGCCCAAGCCCGAAGCTTTCAATCGAATCCTAAATCCCACCTCAGACCCAAGCTCATACCCAAGCCCGAAGCTTTCAATCTATTCTTAAATCCCAAACTCGAAAGCTTATCCGCCCTCAGACCCAAGCTCATACCCAAGCCCGAAGGTTTCAAATTAATCCCAAATCCGAGAGCTCCTCAGGCCCAAGCTCGCACCCAAGCCCGAAGACTGGACCTCATCCCAAATCCCAAAAAGACGAATGCTGTATCTACCTTAAGCTGTAGTCCTGAATCCCAAACCCTGAAGCCTATCCACCCCCATGGCCTATAGCCTAACCTGTCAAACACCACAGCTTTCAATCGGCAACGTGCACCCGGGGCAGCCTAGCTTCTATAAGAAATTAAGGAATCGAAGTACGTGCCACTATTCGATGCGATGCGGTTTACAGTAGATGCTACTGGGAAGTTCTGGCGCTGCATTTACAACCATGGAATGTGGATCCCTCGCTCTGCTGCTCATGAATGCTGCAAGAACGGGTGGCTTGTCGCCGTGCCCTGGCTGTAACTTACGACATTTGTTTCAGCTCATATTTTATATTAGGTGCGGAACTTCATCTTCCTGAGGACGGCTATGCTACATTAGCGAGCCTTACAGCGAAATTGGGCCACTTGCTGTACCATGTGCGCCCGAAACTGCACATGTATTGTCACATCGTGCGGCCCGGCGTATGCTTAAAACCATTTGACTTTTCGGTTGAATCGCTATTGGGCTGGGCGATGTTCAATTTAGGGCGAATATACTCCACCGAGTCGGGGGCAACTAAGGTTATTCGTGCAGCACCAACTCGAAACAGAACCGACCGCCGAGTATGTGCTTTCCCCGACTAACTTCATGACATGGGCGGATGAAGATTTTATCGGCCGCATTGCAAGGCTGAGCAGAAGAGCTCACAAGCTTACAACCCACAGGCGCACACTGCAGCGAGCAAAGTGCTTGTACGTCAGACAATGGACCCGCATCTGGGGCTCCGGCTGAAAATGTGGACTCGTAGACCAGCCAGATGCCGTTGTATGTTTGTGCATGGGCGAGCTGGGTTACGATTTCGGAGTCGATGTGGCTTGTGCAATCTGGGGTTATGGACTCATGTGTGCTTATTCAGCGGGGGCGGTTTTGTACGTAAGATGCCACCATGTGAGGCTTTCCATTCTAGTGTTTCGGTAAGTTTGGGATGTATAGCGAAGTTGAGTAGCTCTGTAGATGACTTGTAGCACTAAAGCGTGCGCTTTTTTAAAAGCGTGCGCTTTTTAATTTTACGAGCGCTTATTATGTAAACGGGCGGGAATATTTCGTTACACAAATTTGTGTATCAATACTTGGATGGGCCGGGTGGTTGCT